TCAAAGTATCAAAGGGAGGACGAGGACGGATCAAAACACGTGACAATGCTGCCACCTGCTGGAATTTTGATGAACCGCCAAGAGCTCGTTCTGAAAACAAGACGTTTTCACATGTGACCTAAGTCAGCGCTTACAAATACCTATTTAGTCAAAACATTTAGAGGGGAACTAATCATCTGAAAGTAACTTAAGATTTGTTGGAAGGGGCCAACTGTTCCCTGAACAACAGAGAGCAATTGGTTTCAAAGTCATCATCTGGCTCTGGGATTGGTGCAGCAATAGAAGACCTGAAGGAGGTTTAACCAATCCAAGACAGGTAGTTGCACAGCTGACAAGGAAATCAGCCAATCCCAAATGGGGCAATGCACACAGCTGAAAACAAACCCAAAATGCCAGAGGATGAGCTATGAGAGTAGCATAGAAATTCCTTCATCTGGTAAATTTGCTATTGGCTCCATTTCTTTGAGCAGGAACAGAAACTTTGTCCAGTTAAATGCATCACTCAGTTCAACCCCAGATGAATTCATTACCTACACACACATTGCTTTACCGCTCCGTACCCTTTTACAATACTTTAAAATACTTTGTATTTGATGCTCCTTTATCTTAATGTACAGTTTTAAACACAACTTTTTTTTCTTTGAAAGAGAAGTTCAAGGTATTTTAGACATTTTCCTTCCTTCATTTGAAAAAATGAGCAATTGAACATTCCAGATGCTGCAACATCTTTGTTTCGAGTACAACAAAGTACAACATCTTTGTTTCGTGTTTTGGCTTCTTGCAGACGCAAACTGACAACCCCACCTTTGCTTTGTAAAGCATGTAGTTTGAGAGGTTAGTGAGTCTGTGTGATAGAAAGCCCCTGTACGTGTTATACCCTCATTTCCTGTAAAAGTAGTCATAACACTGAAACCCACCAGCCACAAAGCACATGCACTTTCACACCCCATTTGAGGTTATTTATTCCGTATGAATATGCTCATTTGTGTGTGTGCACACATGTGGGTGCATGCAAGTACAAAGTTGAGGAAAGGTCTGATTCTGACTGGTTTCATCTGTCTCATCTAAGCAGAACGAAACATTTCACCCTTCAGCAAACTGGTAAAGTCCCATTTATGATTTGAAATTTTAAAATTTTGTTCCACTAAGAGAAATGCAAATGTAAACAAAGCTGTTAGATTGTCACGGTGT